AAGAGTGCTGACCCCAAAGCCCTGTTCAACCGAGAACTGAAGCAGTAAAAGCAGGAGAGAGGGCAAGTCCTGGTACTCACATGAGCTGCAACAGCCACTAACACTGCACTTCCTTAGGTATGGGATCGACAGCCACGTCACAGACCTTTCCCAAAGATCAGTTTGCAGGCTTGCACTGGACAATTTTAGATGATGATGCTTTTAGGAAAAGGCGTGGATCTATCATTTACACAAAGAATGAGACGTGAAGAAACTCAAAGGGGCAGCTTTTCCAGCCAGTGTCACTGAAGGAAATACTTTGAGCTCAGGGTCTGAGCCACTGGGTAACTCTCTGCAAACAGACTGTTTGGCCTCTGGATAAACCAAAAGTGGTCACAAAGTGAAGAGCAGACAAACGCAGGAAGTAGTTTCCTCTCTCCCATCAATATGTATCCTCAGAAAAAATACCGGTAACTGATTTTGATAAAACCCCTACGATTTACCCTAAGGCATCAATGCAATCATTATAAACTGACCTGTTCTTGGCCTGGTATCCAGAATGTGCGTGCCATTACAGAAGCGTAGGCAGTTTCACCCAGCAGAGCTCCTAAAATGTGTTTGTGTTGCCTCCCAAGAACTTTGGCAGTTATGAATTCAGACCCCAATCAAATTTCAGTTCTATTCCATGAAGAGTAAGAAGTAACGATGAGTAGTTCCAGCCATTTTCATTTTTTCTGCCCTTGGAGAGGAGCACTAGCAAGCACAGGACTTTTACATGCACAAATGCAAGCCTGAAGGACAGCAAGTTGAAAGAAAAAATATCTTCTAATTCATAGCACATGTGCATCTACTCTGGATTCCAGGGCTGACATACATTCAGAAACACAACACTGTCATAGAATAAAATGAGTCCCACACCTGATCTAAAACTTGACAAGGCTAAATAGGCTTACGGTCTAAACTGATTTGTATACCCTAGCATATATCCTATCTATCTCTTTAATCCTCTGATGCACCGCTTGAACAAAGTCCCAGACTCCAGCAGTCCCACCTCATTTGTTTTGGTACCCATGTCACAGAAGTATTTTGGTATTATTTCCCTGACGAACCCCAGTGGTATACTGACTTTTCCTTCAAATCTTCATTTAATCTCAGAGAATTCTCTCACAAAGTTTTCAATGTGCATCTCAAACCAATTCAGAATTGGATTTAGTGTTTTAGGTAGTAATTTTTGCAGCAGTCATTTGACAACAGATTCTTGGTATTTATGCAGACCTGCTTTTGTTCATTTTCAAATAAGTTATTTCCTTCACCACAAGAAGCATCTTGGTTCTAATTTACTGACTGGACATCTTAAATGCTCTTATTCACCAACAAACTCACCCATTCTCACTTTAAAACACAGAAATGTGCATTGCTAATTCTGTCAAAATCAATGCAATACCAAACCGGATTACTGAGAATGAAAGAATACATCATAAACTTTTCTTTTTTCCTAGTCTCACTCGAAACAAGCCAGGTTTTGCGCAGCTGACTTTTCTGAAGCAGGATACTTTTCCCTGGTGCAGGTAAACAGATGAAATGGCTTTTTCCAGAACAATCAAACACATGCCAAGAGCATTTGGGTTTAGCTCCCATTATTAACAAAGCACATACACCCCCACCCCAGTAATTATTTAAATAAAAAATAAACATAAATCAAATGTTTTTAAAGTATTAGGAAAGAAATGACTGTGAACTACATAGATGTGGAACAGACAAGGATTCCTCCTATCATCAATCTTCTAACTACAGTTAGTACCAGATACTACCGGGAAGATAAAGGTAAGAGAAGGTTTTACTGGAGAGACACCCACTATGCGCCCAAGTTTCTTTCCACTTAAGTTTCCAAATCCCTTGAGAGTCTGGAGCAACACCTACCTGTAACAGAAAACAGATTCTAGCCACAGAGCCACAACAAACAATTTGCTGGACGCTTCTCTTGCAGTCTAGAGGCTGCAACACAGACCTGCAAACGGTACTCATCCTGTCCAGCTCTAGCAGAACCTTTGACTTCTGCTGACTTTAGCACTTAAGATGTATTTTTGCAGTGAAACAGATATTTCAAAGTTTATTTTACTTTTGTTCCAGACCTGCAGCAGAGCCTGGGGGCCCAAAAGGCAGCCCGTTTCCTTTTTAAATCAACTGATGCAGCTGCGGGAAGTGAGAGATAATACCTCTTCTTACAAATGGTCTCACTTAGGTACCCAGCAGGATTTTCAAAAGGTTTGACAAAGTTACCCTGTATATTTCAAGTAATTTGGGAAAGCTAAAAGAAAACCAGATTTAAACAAACAAACAAACAACAAAAACCCAACCAAAAAACCCAAAACACAAACCACCCCCACCCCAACTGTGTCACAGCAAAGACTGGGTTAAATGTGAGCTCAGTTTCCATTAGTGAAGAAGTCTCAGTGATTTTAGTAACGGCATGGTTCCATCCCTCCCTCGCTCCACACACAGTAAAGCCAATGAAGTAGGAACTAAGCCTGGCTTCCTACCACATCAGTAAGGCAATGGTGCTGCTAGTTCCAGCAAAGTACTCTGCTCCTAGACTGTACTGGCCAGCACACAATTAGATCATTTCTGAATTAAAGAAATACCCAGAAGCAATTTTGCATAAGCACTATTTTCTTTCAAAGCACAAGGGAAAGTTGGCATGTACTGCGTTTAGCAGAACTGTAATCTGGTTTAAGCATGGGTTTATTTAAAAAATCTCCAGCTCTCACCTGTAGGTTATTCCAGAGCCTGTGAATCAGCAGACAGTTACTGTTTATTGGAAAGCTTCCTTAAGTACTTAGTACTTTGCAGAGAGCACAAAAAGAACTCCACCATCAGTCTTTGCTAGAGTCACCTGTCTACAACTGTCCAGAATTGCGAACATGAAGTGTTCAGGACGCAAAATTAAATTTTGATAGATAGACCTCTAATAAATCAAGTATTCTGCAGACTACAGAAAATTTAAGTAAATGGCAGCCATATAACAGACAGCTTCCTTCAGGTATTTACAACATACTTAGCATCATGTCATGAATTTAGGTATGCTTTTTTCCTTTGTCCTCGTCCAGACACTCATAGCTTTGAAGCATCTCGAATAACCAGGTGCTTAAAAGAAATCAGACACTACACAGGTTAAACAACGTGGTTCTATTAAAAACTATCTTTAACCATGGCATTCAGTGAGCAATACAATACTTTCTTCCACAAAGCAACTAATACAAAAATATGCAATAAAATCATCTGTAGACTAGTATGCCAGTACATACATGTAATCATAACATTCTTTTATAAACTCTTTCCTGAGATACCTTGGGTTGTTTGATTTTCTTGTATTACTGGATGTATTATCTTTATGATTCATCTAAAACAACTGTAAAATAAAACATTTGGTATGTGCAGGACACTCAGTAACACATAAAAAGTAGTATGTAAATATATGGCAAAGAAACAGCTCTTAGGAATTACGCGCGTTTTTACTTTGTTACATTTTTTAAATGTTTGGCTCCTTGGGAGATGGAAAGGAGGAGCATGAAAAACCTGAAATTAGAGCTATGAATTGACAAAAAAGCAGGAAAGCAATTCAGGAATGTTAGGAGTTGGAATATAATATAAATGACAAAAAGACAAATGACAAAAAAGAGAAACCAATAACTCTTGTTGGCTATGTACTGCCTTATAAAGCAACTGGACATATTTTAGTCAGTTCACAGTATAATAAATATTTTTACTAATCTGTTTTGGAAGAGTAAATGGCTTTTAGGATTTCAAGCTCATCTCCAAGTTGCTTGTTCTGAGCTTCTAGTACTGCAAGATGAGTCTCCAGACATTTTATGTATTCTTTCTTCCGACATCGACATTGTTTAGCAGCTTCCCTGCAAAAAGCTGAAGTAAAAAGTGCAAACAAAAAAGCCATTTGCATGCCATTAGAAAGCTCAGCAGAGTATGGAGACTATGATAGAATTCCAGATTTTGGAATATTTCCCAAATCAGTTCCAAAACTGGGGTCCACAAGGGCCTCAAGTGTCTCTTTCTCAAGTTCATACGGCAATCTGCAGAATTGCTTCCTCTCATGCGTTGATTAAAGTTCATAATAAACGAGGTCCAAACGAAAGGCAGTTATTCTGCCTTGTGACAGTAAAGATCTTTGAGGGCCTTGAGTTCCTCAATCAGAGTCTTGTTTTGGTTTTCAAGCACAGCCACACGATTTTCAAGACATTTGACATATTCTTTCTTCTTTCTGCGACATTCTCTGGCAGCTTCCCTGGAACCAATACAAGGCAAATGACTACACGAACAGCCACAATATGGCAAAGACTGGATAAATGAAATTACCTGCAAACCCTATGGTTCCACAATAACAACAACCACCACCAACAACTGTTGGATTGCACAAACACAGCAGCAGGTAACAGCCATAAGCAATAACGTGGTTAAAATACAATTCAAAACAACTAGAACTTGAAATAAACTCAGTATCAACAAATACAAAGATGGAATTGATACACAGAGGAACTAAGAAAAACTGCGAGTAAATGATAACGTTTTGACTTGAATTGTACTAAACATTAAGACTGAAAGCAGCATTTCTTCTTCCAGTTACATTCCATTTTGTGTGTTTATCAGGAATATTACCTTCTGCAATCAAAATCTTAAGACCAAACCCAAAGAATTACTTTCAGAAAATAAAAGCGTAACACTACTCTCTTCAGATGAGAAGCCAGATGCCAAGCTTACAACCTGCTGTAATTTTTTTACCTTAATGGAACAATCTACAGCAAAATTTAAGTCAAAACAAACACTATTTATCAGCATTTTAGAACTGTCCACCTGGGCACATTTGCACTACGTGCATCTGGGGTTTTTTGATTGCTGGCAAATGGCAGTCTGGAGTCATTCCCATAGCTCTGCTCAGAACTCTGTTATATTGAAGATGTTATACTGGGTAGTATTTTCAGAAGCTTGTGACTGAACAAGCATTCAATTCCAGAACAAATTGTAGAAGTACTGGGAGTCCACTCCTTTAACATCTTGGAACATGAGAAACTGTCCAACTGTGAGAGTGTAACTTTCCAGCGAGTCATATGAGAGATAGCATAGACGCTAGTTTTAAAACTGAAGAGAGGAAAAACAAAAAGAGGCACAATGATGCAGCAATCCTTGTGAGTAATTTAAAATAAAGGACAGGCATGAGAGCAAAGCAATACCAGTAATTCAATCGTAAGGCAAGGGGCAATTCAATGTATTAAGAGATCTGCATAGCAGACGATTTGTTCCATTAATCTAACTGCCATTAATAGCGGTGGCTACGCATTAAAAAAAAAAATAAAGAGTCCCCTAAGAACAGCAAGAAAAATGCACAGAGAAAGACTGGCATTTACAGTGTACAGCCCAGTCCATGCCAACTAATTAAAAAATATACAGCCAACTCCCACAATACGCCTCACAAAATGACAGGGGCATTGCACAGTAACTTATCCCAGTAGCCAAGTATTTAGGAAAGTCTATAATTATGATTCCATCCTAGAGTAAGTCCTCTTCACAGCATCATTAAAGGACAACTGCTAACGAGATCCTCAGATATCTTCCTAACCAATTCTTTGCTGGGGTGTTTTAAAATGAACAAACCTATACTGGTCATTTTACTGTCAGGGGGGTGGCAGATGGAATTCAAACATAAGTATACCTCCAGGTCATCACAAAAATTATCAGAAAGGGACAACACTAATACTGATTTCTGAATTACCATAACATTTTAGATCTAAAAATCCATGGTGATAAGGTCAACTCTAACTTTCCAGAGTTAACACCCAATACTCAATGCTATAAGGACGTGGGATGACTGACAAAGAATTTCTTGCCTTCCCTTCATCAATCACACGCAGTGCTCACGACCTTAAGAAGAAAACTTCATCAGAATGTGTTGGGGGTTCTTTTGCAACACTGACTATCAATTGCTACATAGTCTTACCTATTTTTCATAAGTCTCAGCTCCCTCTTGCGTGTTGCCTCTTCTGCCAGTTGCTGAGGGCTATGCAATGTCCCTGGTGAGGCTGCCATTACCACTCCCTGAGGTAAGGTAGCAGCAGGAGTTCGAATCTGGTAAGCTGGTATGTCTCCAGTGGCAGCTGTATAAAAGAATTGTATTTTAAACTTTATGGCAAAAAAGAACTATGCAAAGCCTCTCTGGAAATAACAGGTTTCTGTTGATGAGTTATCCAGGATCTCTGCTACATAAAGTATTTCACAGGCCTGTAATGTCACAGCTACATCAGTTATCTTACCAGTGTTTATTTCCACACTGTAAAATAAGTTATCTAAATTGCTCTAGCATGTGGCCCCACCAGCGAGCCAGACTGAAGCCTGTGAAAGCTTCCACGTGGCTCTTCTCAGACAACATGGGGAAAGCTGTTCGAGAAACACTGTCAGAGCATCCACACTTATTTCCTGTTTGCACAACCCCACAAAAAGACGGTCCTGCTATTGCAGCCACTGAGGTTTATATGCTACCCCATCCTCTGACAGAGGCTTCAGGAGTCAACTTTCTCCTCCTTCCCTGTCACAGCAGCAGTACCAGCCTTACTGCCTCTCCTCCCTTTGCAGCAGCAGTGTGGCAACCCTTGGAAAACCTGTGAGAGCTGCTGTTGTCAAAATGAAAAGACAAGTGCTCATGGTGAAGAGGAGTTTGTTCCTTGAGGAAAAGGACCGTACATGGGATGCTGCAGCGTTAGCGGGCAGAGGAGCTAGTCACAGTTGCACAGGAAGGGGTGTAGCTACACGGTAAATCAGAGTGCAGAAGTTCAGATTCAGCTCCTGAGCTGACCAGTTTTGAGCTCTCCCCAGGCTAAATGCAGATCTGAAATCTGACATGTTATTTGGAACCAATACCTTTCTGACAGTCTTATTTCTGTATTTATGAGGTAGTTTGTTCCTACATGATGTACTCCAACTTTAAAACACTGTGAAAGTTGTAAGTACTTGTGTCTTGCCTGGCATTAGGAAAAAAAAAAACCAAACAAAGTATCCTTCTTCAAATCATAAGCAAGTATTTACTACACCTTTTCATAAATATTTTATATTACCACAGAACAAAACTTCAAATTTTGTCATTAAAGCAACTGAATCTAAAAGATGAAATTCCAGGGGCTGTTATATTTAATTTATACTTTAATGCTTTAAAACAATATTCAATTAATGGAAAAACTTAACTTGTGCCATGGTTTAAACCCAGGCAGCAAGTAAGTCCCACACAGCCACTCGCTCACTCCCTCACTGGTGGGATGGGGGAGAGAATTGGAAGGGTAAAAGTAAGAAAACTCATGGGTTGAGATGAGAACAGTATAATAATTGAAATAAAATAAAAATTATAATATTAATAAATTGTAATGAAAAGGAAAATAACAAAAAGAGAAAGAAATAAAACCCAAGAAAAACAAGTGATGCAAATGAAAAACAATTGCTCACCACCAATCAACCAATGCCCAGCCAGTTCCCAAGCAGTGGCCCCCAGCTACCTTTCCCCCTAGTTTATATGCTGAGCATGACGTCATGTGGTCTGGGATACCCCTTTGGCCAGCTGGGATCAGCTGTCCCGGCTGCGTCCCCTCCCAACTCCTTGTGCCCCCTCCAGCCCACTCGCTGGTGGGGTGGGGTGGGGTGAGAAGCAGAGAAGTCCATGACTTACTGTAAGCACTGCTCAGCAACAAAAACATCAGTGTGTTATCAACATTATTCTCATCCTAAATCCAAACCACAGCACTATACCAGCTACCAGGAAGAAAATTAATTCTATCCCAGCCAAACCAGGCCACCTTGGAAAAATAAAAACACTTTGGGGAGGCTGACAGGTAGAGCAGTAAAGAGACATCAGTCAACTACAGAGGGAAAGAAAACCAAAACCTAAACTTAATAAAAAAAAATTACTATTATTCTTACAAAGTTAATGCAGGTGCTTCATTAATTAAATACAAAAAAAACAGGATCAAGCTGTGTTTAGACTACAATTCCACAGCCATGTCATGAAATCATTACCAGCTTAAACACTTTGCACCTCCCCCTCTCTCGCTCCTGCGGGTAAAAGTGTTTGTGGAATTACAAGATGAACTGGACCAGTGAACTGACCTGGGTTGGATAATCCCCTGGGAATGGGGGAGGGAGAGAGAAATCAGCCCAGGACAGCCCTATGAGCACTAACAGGCAGCCGCAGTGAACACAGAGCTCAGTGGTCTTGTACATTTACAAGAGAATCACTTAACCCTTTCTTTAAGTTTCCCACATCTCTTCGCAGTCCCAGTTATGTCAATGGGACGATACTTCAGCTATTCATAAAAATGGAATTTAGGAACTCTTCAGGCTCACCTTACGCTGGCCATACTACATGCATTTTATAGACTCTCACGGTAAGAACTACCTATTACTCTCTCTCATCACTAGGTAAAAAAGAGATGTTATCTTAGTTTGCATTAGCTACACTGAATCAGAAATCCAAGTGAACCCTTTTGTAGATCAAGTCATGGGGAAAGACCCATAACCCAGGTCACCTCAGCCTGACAAGACCAACTACTTTCTTGTCTGTGTGTGATTTACACTCCGGTGGTAGCTAACAGGACCTACTACTGCTGCTGCTGCTAAGTGCACTTGGAGTGCAATACGGCGTAACAGGAGTGACTCCCTATCTCAGCTGGCATCAGCAAACACCACTGTAAGTAACTACATGCTGCATGAATTGTCTGGCCAGTGTCTGTCCCTGCCTAACAGCTCGCTCACTTACAACCTACCAGCAGAGATAACTAACCATTTCAGTGGTATAGACCTTGTAAACCCAGACACTGCAGGCTTCTTTTTTTTTTTTTTAAAAAAAAAGGCATAGCATTGACAAAGTATTTTTTAGTTGTGCAGTAATACGTGCTTTACAATATATTATTACAAACCAACTATTTCAAAGTCTGCAGATTTTTTTATATAATATCTCATAAAGTTACAATAAAATACTGTTTCCCCCCTAAAAGACATTGGGAAAGATGAAACAGGTTTTAAGCAGGGGGAATAAAATACCCTTGAAAAAAATCATAGTTTAAGTCCAGTAATGTATCTACATATTACAGAGAAGGGTACTATCCATTTCAGCATTTGAAACAAAAATCCCACACACCTTGATCCAGACTGAGAAAGCTCTGTGGCTGTTTCTAACAAAACTCCATGGAGGTTTAAAGTCATTCCTAACATATCAGAAGCAGGACTGAGACTGCTAACAAAGCAACACACCTGGAGATGGTGTACTTCCCTAACACATTGCCGCAGGTCATCTTTTTTTTTCCCCCCTCATTAAAATTGCAATGGAGTAAAAAGTCACTGAAAACCTGAAGCTTTGAGTTGAGACTTACAAAAAGGAAATTATTAACAGGAAGACAAACAAAAAACCAACCAAAAAACCAAACCACGTTTGGAAGAGTACAACTAACCCTGTAAATTAAGCTCTGAGAAATTAAAAAAACCCAACAACAAATCAACCCACAACCAAAAAAATCAATCACCTTTTATCAGCAGGTTCTTGGAAAAAGTAACTTGCTGAACGCTAGAGAGCATCGCTGCACTTGAATTCTTTCGGGGACTATCCAGGAGAAGAAAAGCCTGATGCATGCTATGTTATTTGTGCGTCTGTTCTCCCCTTCTGTGAGTCATAATGATGGGACTAGATTATCAAAGGGTTTTTAACTTCACCACTAAACTGGCTAAACAAGGCACGAGTCATTATCCCTTTGAGGATAAAAAAAAAAAAACAAACAACAAACAAACAACAAAACGTCGACTTGGAGAAGATACTTATCTTCGGATTAATGAAACAATACGTACCGGCAATGAGCAGCAGCACGTAGGTACCGGCTGCGAACCGGTTAACATCACAGACCTGCCGGAGGCAACTGACGAAGCAGAAAGGAACTGACTAAATCGCAGCATGACTTGGAGCTGACGTCAATGTGTATCTTGTTTGGAGTTTAACTTTTCCAGTTCCCTACTGCAACACGATTCCAGGAAATGTAATGACGTCAGCCTTTTGAACTCAATTAGCTGAGGAACAGACCATTTTAACAGCAGAGGAGACACGAGCAAGCGTTACAATACTTTAAATTACTGCTCTCTCCAATTTGTGTTCAGTATTTTCTTTAATAATGAAAGCACGGGGTTTATGTACACTACCGAAATAATGCACACCCTTCTCTTACAGCTATGCTCAGCCTATTTTAGCTATCAAATCCGAAGTGTTTATTGCTAAACAAAAAAGCAGTGCCATTTTTACAAAATAAAAACCAATTATAAACATAGTAACATATACTACTGTCTCCACAATAAAGAATTTAAAAGAAGATTTTTCAGCAAAATCCTGCATCAAATAGCAAAGACTAGTTATCCAAATCAATCTGTGCAAGAACTCAGGCACTAACAATGATCTTTCCCCCAAAATGAAACTGTTAAAATTGCCCTGAAATCCGACACTGACTAACTACATATAACCAGAAGCTCTTTGTACCAGTTTTAAAGATAAAAGACTTGCAGCAACAGGTCCAAAAGAAAATGTCACAAATACCAACCAAGCACTGCTTAGACATCCAAAAATACCATGTAAAAGACTAATAAAATTTTTACCTGTTTCATCCCCTGTTACAGCCATGATCAGCTTCTGCACACACGACTCTCCTGTTCCTCTACCAGAGCTCAGCATGAACTGTTCCAAACTAGCAAGCATGTGCAGGATTACAAGCAAGAGCACTGACATCACAGTGACCTCACTTGCTTACCACTGTCATTAATATGCTCTGTCACTGGAACAGCTCACTGAAACTGCAGCCCAAAGAACTCCTTTTCCAGTAAAGCTTTTTTGTTTCTTCCTCTTCCATATTTCTATAAGCCTAGCTTTGTTCTTTTGCCCTGAATTATTCATAAAGCTACAGAAAGCACTCACCACAAAGCTGGCTCCAAAGCAAGACCTGAAAATTCACAGCACTGGCTGACAGAAATTAAAATGTGGCTCTAGAATTCATGAATGAATCTGAATGATAAAGTTATGATTGCATAGAAAATAGGGAAATTTTAAAAAGACGTGGAATTGTTTTGATTGGAGCAGTTCCACTAAAAGGCAGAGAACTCTGTCAGACAGACATGCAAGACAGGAAAGCTTAATAAGCTATAACAAACAGGTAAATGAAAGGCTAAAGCTCCTTGCTCTGGGGGGGAAACCACAACCCACTCATTTAATTTCAGTTAAAAGCTTCAGAAAAGACTGAAGAAAGCTCTAACAAAGCAAGTCAACCTAAAGCTAGTGATTTCAGATGCTGTAACAGGTAGAACAGTAGGGCTACCTCTCCTGCGTTCCCTCCTCTTTCAAAACAAGACCAAGAGCTCTGGTTGACTTAGTTTTAAAATATAAAACCAAAAAAGTCTCATCTCTAACAGAGTTACTCCTTATTTATATCAATTTAAATGAAACTAGTTTCAGAACAACAGTCCAGGCACTGGTCTGTACAGAGGGCACAGCAAACTTCGAAGGCCTTTGTCTGTAACAAACAAATTCAGACTGGTAATTCATCAATGGTGAAACTATGCCAAGGACAGCAACAGTGGAAGCATCAATGCAAAAACGCAGCACCCTGTGATTACAGGACCACTTCAGGATCATATGAACACAAGCTCAGAACAACTGAAGCACTCAAGAAATCCAAGCCACAGATCTCAAATAACACTGTGCATTTCACTGACCATATTATGAAAACAGACAGAGCCCAACAGAAGAATTTTTGATACAACTTTTCTATACTCATTTTCACTAATAATTAAACACTTTCTTTTGCTTCAGCTAGCAAAAGACCCCTTAACCTGTATTAGGAAACTGTGAGGACATCAGAACTGCCTCTTATTTTGCCTTTGAATGTAAACTTGTAGCAAATGAAATATCACTCAGTTGGATCAACACCTTTGGTGTGTTTACACTAACCCCTTTTCCCATCATAGGTCACCAGAATGTATCCAGCACAGGGTTTATGTGATGCCATCCATTATTACGTGAGATTCATCAACAAATACTTCAGAAAAAATATAAATATATAAGCTATCCTTAAGATTCTGAAACAGATCTTTCTTGCCCTAGGACTGATACTTGTTTTTCATTCCGTTGGTTTCTTTTTCTTTTTTTACTTCTAGGACTATTCCAAATAAAATGTATACGCTGTCTACCCAAAATCATCGTAAGAATATACGTAAGTGGGAAGATTACTAAGCAGACTGTTGCTTTCCTATTATACTTTGTGCTATTACAATATTAGGTGAACAGTCAACTGCAAAGTGTACATAAATGACAAATGTTCATAAACAATATTGCTACAGACTTTCTAGCACAGGCAAGGTGACCTGTAGGAAGGACATATTAGAGACCTGTATATCCAACTAATTCCATTGTCTCGCACCATCCTGAATAACTCAGGTTTGTTGATGATATGCAATTACCATCACAGAGAGAGCTGTATTACTGTAAACATCCTCAGGTGCTTTCATACTCTTTTTTTATATTCTCTTTTTTATTAAAGATTTTTTAGAAAGATTTTTCCAGTATCAACAGCATGTATAGTATGTTGAAACCTTTTATCTTATCATCTCTGAGCTCATGCTCACTTACTATTCTCTTTGTATTTTTCCCTGTATATGTTATGTAGCATTTTTCTTCTGTGTCAACAGCTACGAGCATCACTGAAGCACTGGACTTTGGGCCAAAGGAACAGAAAATTCCAGGAAGTCAACTTTCTGAGCATGGACAGAGAACAAACCAATGTAGCTGAACGTATATAGAAGCTTCCAGAAACAGGGTACAGCAGGTATCCAGTAACTGTCCCTGAATCCCTTTCAAAAGTTTTCATCACAGGCAAGACACGTAACGGGCTATACAATCAAGCAGTCGAGCCCATCACTGAGGCTGAACAGGCGGGTTAGAGGACAGCCCCATCAGAGGATAACCCTGGAAACAAACAGTCTGTAAAGGAAGGACAGCCAAACGAAATTCCCAAGGACTGAAGTGCTACCAGATACAATCCCTAGGTTCTTGCTTCTTCACAGGCTGAGGAGGTTTTAGGAAACAACCAAGGAGCTACTCTCTTCTCTGCCCCTGCCACCGAAGCTCTGAAGCATCAAAGCAATACATGCAAAATACTACGGTCAACCTGGAGAGACAGAGAAGTCCTCTAATGTAAGGGATGTGTACACACCTGTAGAGAAAACATATTAGCCTCATACTCAGAAAACATGCACTACCAGAGTGGTAGTGGGAAATCTGTTTGGGGGACAGCCAAATTTGGGTCTTAAGGCTTTGCTAAGAATGTATTCATAATAATATTTAGGGAAGTTATAACAGTACTCTTCTGCATGATGAAAACTGACATTTTGGCTAAGGGATCTTCATATTATAGTTTTAGAGCTTCCTTGAAATGCTTCTGAAAAGTCTCGGGAAGACTTTTCAGCAAATTCAGCAAAGAATTAACAAGAGGCAATGGAAGAATTCAAATTTGGTATCATTACTTAGCATTGTCTCAACAAGTTCAGATATCTACAAGCTATCAGCTTTACATCCTGGGCTTCCTTTACAACAAAGGGAGAGAAACAGTCACTTAAAGACTGAACTTATTGCAAACATCCGTATTAGGGCAGAAAAAGCACCTCAACCTGGGCTTCACCAACTATCTCAGGAATCTGTGCCTACATGTAGACCATGACTCTCATCCGCTACATTAATACATATTTGCAGTCTTCCTAGCTCTTCTCATGGTTTATTTCAGTTAGCTGTTTTGGCTCAAGAACGCACTCATATCGCCCTCCCTCCCTACTTCTCTGTACCAATTAAAAAAAGGTGGAAAATAAATTCCCTATATCCTCTGTGGTAGCCATTAATTCAGTGTCTCCATACAGAAATCTCTTCCCCATTTTCAAAGGTTTTCCTCAGCATAACCCAAATCCCAACCCTGCTTTCCCAGGTATTGATAAGAATCCAAGATACCTTTGGTTCTCAATCTCCCTCAGCATTTCCAAAAGGCTGGGAACAGCGGAAGGAAAAAAAACAATCCTGCATAAACTACAGTTAGGTTCAATAATTCACTAATCACAGTTCGATTCAGGTGTGTGAGTTTTATAGAACCTACAAAGTGTTCTTCTGTGAGAAAACTAGCTTCAGTAACGAATGTCCTTTCCAATAACTACAGAAGTCATAAACTGCAAGGAAATTCTAGCCTAAACATATCCAAAGAACTAGAATTAGTTTCATACATTAAATGAGATGCACTATCAGCATCTTATTTCAATCTGTAACAGCAACTTTACTGCAACTAAACATATCTCTCAAAATCTGGACAAGAGAATTCAAAGCAGAAGAAGATTTTATTTCCTCCTCATAACTTTTTAAATCAAAAGTAGCAGCTGCTTCACTGAGCAAAGAACCTGAGTCTCCTCCTAAGACTGTCTTTCATCTTGTCATGCACAAATACGTTCTTTAATAGTGCAATTATGTCAACACAAGATAAAAAGCCTTGTAAGAAAAATTGTTTTATATGAAAAAACTAAAATGCAATAGATTAATAAAGTCTACCTTGAACAACAACTTGGCTTCCAGGAACAAAAAACTGTTGTGTGCCATCGAGTGATTGTCCTGCATATTGCACAATGGTAGCACCTGGCTGAGGAGCTCCTGAATTTGTCATTGTTAACGTCTGTAGTCCATGAACACCATCGGAGCACGGATTAGAAATCTGGATTGTACCACCTTGAGATATAGTAACTAAACACAAAAAAGAAAAAAAAAAGTTAGGCAATAGAAAGAGATACAACATGTTAAAAATCACATCTCCCTTTCTAAAATAACGTTGTCTGATAGGACTCCTGGTTCTCTCCTTGCTTAAAGATCTATTGTACAGTAAAACATTCATAATGTTAATTCTGATTTCCACAAATATAAAGTTTGTTGTGTAGCACCTGCCATGTGTTCCACATTTCATCTCTATGCTTCCATAAATATTAACTCTTCTAAAATAGTTTTAATACAAGAAAAAAGAAAAAACAGTAGCTCCTAGCCATACAGAATCATTGTTGTTTTCAACACTAATGTAAAAAAGCTATTTAAAAAAAAAAAGCTATGTTTATCGACTCCCACAAAACAAGAACTAGAACATCTAGCCAAATGAAGAGCAAGTCTTCTGACTCCTTTCCTTAGTGTGAGAGAACGTTTAGCCTAACGTTTTTTTACAAGTTGTACAAAGCTGTAAAGAGTCCAATACTTATGGGAAAAGAGAAACAGAACAACAGAACAAAGGTTTTTTTCCCGTGTAACCAGCAACATGAAAACCACAAACATACTTTCATTAAAAAAATCATATTGCGTTGTTCACCATAATTAAGTATTTAGACAAAAAAAAATCCCTAGAGAGGTTATTAACTGTATATTCCTTTTGAAATTAGCATTGGCTTTGTAAAGAGCAGAAGTATCATAGAATCACCGAATGGTTTGGGTTGGAAGGGACCTTAAAGATCATCTACTTTCAACCCCCCTGCCATGGGCAGGGACACCTTCCACTACAGCAGGTGAAGTATTTCTTCCTAATATCTGATGTAAATCTCCCCTCTCATTTTAAAGCCATTACCCCTCATCCTATCTCTACCCTCCCTGATCAAGAGTCCCTCCCCACCTTTCCTGTAGGCCCCCTTTAAGTACTGGAAGGCCGCTAGAAGATCTCCCCGGAGCCTTCTCTTCTCCAGGCTGAACAACCCCAACTCTCTCAGCCTGTCCTCACAGGGGAGGTGCTCCAGCCCCCTGAGCATCTTCATGACCCTCCTCTAGACACGCTAGAGCAGGTCCATGTCTTTCTTACTCTGGATGCCCCAGAGCTGAACACAGCACTGCAGGTGGGGTCTCACCAGAGCAGAGCAGAGGGGCAGAATCCCCTCCCTCAACCTGCTGCCCACACTGCTCTTGATGCAGCCCAGGATGCGATTGGCTTTCTGGGCTGAGAGCGCACATTGCTGGCTCATCCACCAGCACCCCCAAGTCCTTCTCCGCTGGGCTCCTCTCTAACCACTCATGGCCCAGCCTGTATCTGTGCTTGGGATTGCCCCGACCCAGGTGCAGGACCTTGCACTCGGCCTTGTGGAACTTCATGAGGTTTGTATGGGCCCACCTCTCCAGCCTGCCAAGGTCCCTCTGGATGGCCTCCCTTCTCTCTAAACTATCAAGCACACCACACAGCTTGGTGTCACCAGCAAACTTGCTGAGGGTGCCTCAATCCCACTGTCCACGTCCCCAACAAAGATGTTAAATAATACTGGTCCCAGTACAGACCCCTGAGGGACACCACTCGTCACTGGTCTCCACCCAGACATTGAGCTGTTGGCCATAGCTCTTTGAGTGTGACCATCCCTCTTTTAGTGCAACCATCCAGCCAATTCCTTATCCACCAAGTGGTCCACCCATCAAATCCATGTCTCTTGTGTTAATTAAAATACTCTTGGAACTTTTAGATGAGAACCCAATTTCCAAGAAGTAACAAGCTTCTTTCTTCCCCAAAGGATTTTTAAACCACAATCATTGTCATCGTATTTAAAGTGGTCTGAGATGGTACAAAAGTCACATATAAGTAGTACAGATTCGAGATTGCCAACTCCTCTGATTTCACTGTCAAATTCACAATATTTGACGACATTCTTGAAGGTTCAGCTCTGGTTATCTGAACACAAAACTCCTTGTGAGTTTTGGAGATAGCTCATTTCAAATGTACTGTCTTGACAATAGTAGGTTATCTTGAAAGTGCAACATCAGACAATAACACTTCAAAGAGCACTGAGATACTAACAGCTTGATTAGTAAACTGTTATTAGTAAATTAGACAATAGTAACTAGCTACTAGAAGATCAGCTAATTTTTTGAGAGTGTAGTAATCTATCAAAATCGCTAAATCCCATCACCTAAATTAGCTTCCTTTTGGGGAAAATGGGGAATTCCTCTCATGCTGAATGAAGCAGAGCGCCCTATTTACAATACCGGAACAGGGTTCGGCACGGACCTCCAGTCCTACCCTCAGAATACAGAACATGCAATGTCGGAACTAGCTGGGTTCCGCACATAAGCTCCATAAGGCATTGAGGGAGAAGGGGAAAAAAAAAAAAAAAAAACAACAAAAAACTGAGAGCAAGATGTTGTTCCGGACTGGTCTCCAAAACAGAAAGTGCCCCATTTTAGTGCCCCATTTTGGGGCAGGGTGGAAGACAGAGAAGCAAGAAAAATAAATCATTGTCTCCTCTATTCTTCACGAGATCCAGGACAAGAGCAGGTTCCCAAGAGCACACAAACTTCCCAGCAGGTCTTGTCACCTCTGCCTCCTAGAGAAGATATACACAGCCTAATTCTGCCTCTCGCAGAGTTAGCACCAAAACCAGTATGTCTACACCATCACAGTACCATACCACCTAAAAACTAGTCCATTTGGATTCCTGAGTAGTAAAACATCGGCACAGAATCATATAAAGTTCTTGGCTTCACAGTGAGCCCGAGCAAACAATTAAGTCAGAGCTGTCCTGCAATTATTCATTCAGATCACAATCCAGTACTTTCTAGACAAGAGCGAATTAACTCCAGTAACTGTCTCCCTTACAGGACTGAATCTTGCCATATTGCCAGAACAACACACTGCCCCCATCCCATTCACTGTCCTGATCTCAACCACTGCACAGTTTTGTTGTGCTGGAGCTCTAGTGGAAATTGGGCCTTCTATGAAGAGTACAGGACTTTCCTGGACAGTCCTGGGACTTGTCCATCATGCAGGCGGATGGACATTAAGTGGCATCTTCTCTTCTATCTAGGACTGAAGACGATGCCAATACCATTCTCTGAGTATGACCAACAGCTTTAGTCCAGAAAAATCAGATCTTTCCCTCCCTTCCAAAACTGGGAAAAGTAAAAATCGGTCTTTCCCAAAAGATTTCTTAATTCTCCAGCTGTTAAAAACCTGTCCTCAGGCAGCAAGCAACCCAAACAGATGGCAGAAGAACTAGTAATTTTAATTTCCCCTGCATTGTTTCAGACAGAACATCACGATATGCAGAGGTAGGTAAGGGGTGGGTTGATTTACACACTCCAGTTGAATAAACAACTCTTGCATGCTTAGACCACCAGCACAGGTGAGGCGAATCAATATTTTTTCAGTACTCAATAACCAGTATGACAGAACTACAGCCAACAGAGTAGGTTTGTAGCAGATCAGGCTACAAGGCTCATACACAAGACACTGCCTTACCCAAAACTATCCATTCTCCTTACAGAAAGATAACACATATGTTGATGGAGGTAACTGGTAAAGACATTTTATCTAGCTGGTCATGCCCATCAGTCTGTCTGCTTCCACAAGCCAAAGCCAAGAAGCTCTGAGGAAAAAGACATTTGGAAACCATGGCAACATACCATTTTGTCTGGTAAAAAGCAAGCAAAGAACAGCCATCACTGCTGCTAACAGAAAAAATATTGAATTTTTCAGAAAAATTTACGTATTCCAAAAATAGTCAACCCAGACCTCCAGATACCAACATACAGTCCAAATTACCTTTCAACTAAACTGCCTTTCCTATGTAGAAGTAGAGAGAACAGCAGAGAAAATAAGGAATCAGCAAATGTAGTAACATGATGTCTGTTTTAAACCAGGGCCCAGTACAGACGGCTGTAGTGACACTGCAAGACCAGTTCTTCATTGCCATGGACACTGTACAAGCTTAATGCATAAACTGCTGGATGCCTGCACAAGAGAACCCATGCAACCAATGCTGGCCAAGAAGAGAGGAGTACTCAGATACAATAACAATAAGCAGAAATAAAGAGCTACTGACAGGAGATGTAAAGATAAAATAGATACATGTAGTGACTTTCTGCATCATATCCAGACTGAAATCAACACAGGAAAGGCTGCATTCCCACACAGACGGACTTCCTGGTTTTAGCTAACAGCAGTTCCTGAGGATCACAGGCAGCCAACAGGACAGCTGCTTAGAAACGCTGCAGATCTGTGCCTTATACATGTGAGGACTAGAAGCCAACAGTCAAACTCTCTTTGGTAAAATGCAAATTAAGACCCCCTCTACTACAAGATGATCACCCTTTCTACCACTTGGTACCAATTTCTCCTAACCATAATAAGTGAGAACACAGAGACTTCACTGAAGCAAAAGATGTGTGACATTTTAACTTCCAAAGTTGAACTTAAAATATCAAATTTATGAACTAATAAATTGGGTAAGAAAAACCATTTCTAGGAAGACAAAGCTCTCAAAATAAAGTTTCTGAGCCAGAATCAGGAGAGTCCATGAAGGCTGACATTGCATCCTGAAGCAATGCCTCATTATGGCTGAGAACCTACCTAACAAATTAAATTATCTTAAATATACACCACATGTTTTAGGCTACGACTACAACTTTTTCAAAGAAAAAGCGGCATAAAACAGAAATCTTCTATGCTTGGCTCACACAAAACCCAAGTTTAAATTAAGATAAATGAGATTTATTTTAATTTTTGTGGACTCTCTTAATTCAAGCACATTGTCAGTGACGCTCTTTGTTGCTTGATTTTTCAGAAGTAAATGTTTGGTTGAACAAGAAAGCAAAAACTGTGAATTTCATTCTTCTTTCATACACTTCCCTGTCACTATAATTTATAGCTATGTTCAAATTAAAACATCCTCAATTAAGAATCACCTCCTGCAAGACATTACTAACGAAAGTACATCTCCGGTTTCCTAGAGGAAGCTAAGATCAAGAAATCCAAATGCCTAATTTCTTAGAAATCCTGAAGGTTACCACAGCACTTCTTTTTAAGCCTTGAAACTGCAAATAATTTTTTTTTTTTTAACTAAACCTAAGCCAAACCGAAAATATAATTAACAATTTAAGAAAATAATTTAATTTGGTCAAGAATACCTGCCAGACTCTGTACCGGGTAACTGTAATTTAGCATGACCACAACTACACAGAAAAGAGCACTTTAGATGCTCGACTCAAGCAGCAGACATTTATTAATGCCTATACCTTACAAAAGGGTAAGAAAAGCAGCTTAGGAGCCCAAGCAAAATTACTTTCTATGCTGCTTTTCTGAGAATTACTTTAGTTGCATAAATTAAAAATAACTGAAGAATTGTAAGAGTGACTAGAATACAACTAGAGCCATTCTATCCTCTTCTATATGGCAGTGCAAGGTTTTCATAGGCTTTCTCTGTTCTCGTTTCAAGGAAAAAACCCACAACATTCTTGTGCAATTTTTCTGTCCTCATCTCAAAGGAAAAATACCTGCATTTCAGTGTGTCTACACATGAAAAGATGTTAAAAAAACCCCAATTAACTGTAGGAGTGAAGCTTTATCCAATAAAGTTATTAGAAAGTTATTCCTTAGATTATGATTAAGCCCAAAGAAGCTATGGGGAGCGAGTTATGCAACATTTTTAACATAAATGCAGGAATAAAGAAAAACAACCCACAAATCTATAGAACAGAACTGTGAATCTAACTTTTAACTTAAATTTGGATAAAGTATCAAAAGTTGGGAGATCACGATTTGTGTTAATTCTGCAGTTAAGGTGTTCATACTTGACAATTGGAGAGGAAGAGATATATGTCTTTTAAGAAAAAAAATTAAAAGTTAAGAAATAATTTCATACTTCAACCTCACACTCTAAAAAGTCTAACTCACTAATTCTCATTTCATTAATGAATAGCACTAACCCAGAGCAAATCACAGTAATTTGAAACGGCAAGGATTTAAAACACTGACCATTCACATAAAAGCGTCAACATTTTTCATTTCACCTGAGCTCCACCTCCACATTTTTCATGCATAGGAGTTCTAGAAGGACTAATCTAGCAACCAACAAATATTACAAGAAACAGACTAAAAGTCTATAATGCTCATGTTATGAAAAATTAAATATAAAAATTGAAATTATTTAGAAATACAGCTTTCATTCTTCTTCACCAAAATCCAACATCTCTACTTCGTTATGGAACTCTTAGAAATAAAGTTGTTCCTATAGGTGTTCTGCAACATTACATGGTATCTTTGCAAACATACTGTATTGCCCTGTGTTAGCATGATACAGGCTGGTTGGCACAGCCATTGAAGAAATTCCAGAAGGTGCTCCTTCATCTTCTGACTTTTCTTCTTCAATCTTGGGTATTGCAGTAGCATCTGATGAGAGTTCACTCAGAATTTTTCTAAAAAAGAACATAAATAATTTTATAAAGTTGAAATTCCATGTCCATGAGAAAGCTAAATCTCTGGCTTTTATCATGACAGTTTTGCTGTAATATATAAGCTGCCTTTAAAAATCAGGAAAACCAAAATAAGAAGTCCTTACCGATATGAAGGTCTTCTTGAAAGTATTTCCCTACGTTTTTGAGAATCAGTTATCCCTTCTGATTCAGCAGGTTCATCTGCAATCGATGTTACCTGTAATAGCAAAGTTTCTGACATTCGTAACTTCATAAACAAAGAAGATCTCAGAGTAAAAGGTTATTTTAAAAAATTCCTTCCATGTTTGCATACAGGAAGTTTGTGCACTTATTTATCACTTATCATGTGATCTTGGACTTCTTTTTCCAAAGCAAATCACAAATTATGAGGTTAGCAACCTATGGCCACTTAGATGACATCTTCCATTTGAAAAAGAAAAAAAAAAATAATCAAAATAATCCAGGTTACTTTTTGAGAATGACACCTAGAAAGTGTACTGAAGGTAGAAGAGTTCTTTAAACACAAAAATATTATACAATTTCATTAGCTTCTAAAGTGAAATTAAACATTTAAAATACAGAATACTGCACTAACCCACCTTAAATAACAGTATACTATACAAAAGCCTCTTCACAACCACACCAAAGCTATTTACAAACTAAGTTTATTTAAATATACACATTTATTACATTTATCAACACGTATTCATAAATACAAATACATTGCCCAGCAATACTGTGAGAGTTTTGGAAACCTCTGACAAGTTCACAACATCTTATTTTCTCAGACCTTTATTAGCAGTATTTTCACAGGTTCTTTTTGTTTTAAAATTAGCCAAGATGGCACTAAGACCTGGAGCTGAATCACAGTCTTTACCAGCAACTATCTTATTACACAGAACTGAAAGTGATTATTGAACATGGAAAACACACTGTTTTCTTGATTCATTTAACAACTCAGAACTACTGGTGTAAGTAAGATTTCCAAACTGAAACAGTGCGGTAGTGTGGAAAATGACCTTTTCACATAAAGACAGACCAGACTGCGGTTTCAAACTGAGCACTGTGTTAAGCTAACACTGAACAAACAAAAGTCTTAAGTGACTAGAAGACTCAGGTGTTCGACCTGGGTGCAGTGGTGGCTTCCCTGCAGCTCGTGGAAGCAAAGGAAGAGCTGTAGAACTAATGCAGCTGCAGGCCTGAGTGCTAGGTGCTAGAAACACAACCTGCATGACCCCAACAGAAAATGCCTGCTGGAAGGTTCTGGAAATTTATGGGCCTGGGTCACCCCAACTCAAACCTGTAAAACTACACCTTGAAAGAACTACAGGTTATTGCAGAATGAAATTGTCCCTTCACTTGTTTATTTTATTACATTCCAGTTCTGTGTAAAACTATTTACTGTAGCTTCATTTTGCTGGGTAATACATAGGAAACGTCATCAAAACTATGTGTCTGCATAACTAAAAAAGAAGACCACATAGAAATAATGAGAGGTACTTCGGTACTTCTACATCTGTAGAAGACGTATAGCTCCAAACTAGACTTCAGAGCTGACTGGCAGAGAAACAAGAGCTTCAAGAAGTTTGTATTCATCCTTTTGCAGAGGGACCAATGCTGACCAGCAAAGAGCTCTTCAAAAAAGCATTTCTCTCCAGTGCCCTACAGCAATCTGCCTGTGGATCAACCATCAAGCCTCTGGCATAAACCTTCAAAACTAAGACAGTATTACACAACCGAGGGCCTGGGCATCCTATCTCAAAACAGAACCTGCATTCTGCAGAGTGAAAAAAAATACAGAAATCTATTTGTCCCAGGACAAACTACAGGAAAACAAGACCTTAGGGCCTTTAAACCTTCTCATTCCACTAAGCGTTTCCAATAGCCACCCCTGATTTGTCAAGATAGCTGAAAAAGTCAGAACAGTCATACTCTGGGAAGAAGGTAAAGAAATCACAACATGACTTAAGCATTTATGTGGAAGCTTTCTGCAAGAAATTTCAAAAGTTCTAATTTTCATCAAGACAAGGACATAAATGTAATGTTTCAGGTTGTTCTAATAGCAAGCAACCACATTAACAATGCTAACCAATGGAAAATATTGTCACACTTTTTCCTGGACATCATTCAGACTTCAACTTTACCACACCACTCCACGTTTGAATAAATTTAACTTCGAGCTCATGTTAAGTCTGCCAATACCTCATACATTACGGGGAAAGGGGGGGGGCGGTGAAGTAGAAAAGTCAAATACCAACCTGAACTTCAAACCTTCCTACAAGTAAAACAACACAAACAAAACAGTAAGGCACATCCTATAGATAAGCATTTTTTTTCATCTGAAAAGCAACAGCACTACAAGAAAAAACTTTGAACACCTTCTGGTTTAAAGCTGCAGGTGTTTGAGGGAAAGGTCATACAAGCTTTAACATCAACATTCAGCATACTTTTTTAAAAATTAAGGTAAACTGATGTAATTTCCCAAGTTCACCACTGTCTGGCAGAGACAGGATATCAAGTTAAAGCCAAATGATCTGGAGGAAATGCCTGGTGACAGGTAAAGTACTTAAGAGGATCACAGAAGGGATGAACAACCTCTGTAATGGAGTCTTTTACAGCATCTTCAAGCCCTTCTCATAGTCACCTTCTTTGCCATTAGCATGCTCAAATGAAACCAAAGTAAACCCCTGAAACTATTAATCAGGACACAGCTTTCCTGTCTCTACGTCTTTGGGAAAGACAGCCAGAGTTCATTCGATACAACAAGTAATTGCCTTCCTCTCCTGTAAGGCAACACAGCAGCTGCTGGCAAGAGATTCCAGAGACATTCCTCCTTCTGAGCTTTGGAGCAAGTCCTCTGGTTTTGCATGTATGTTGTGAGTGTACTGACTTGAAGAAAAGCAGTTACAGAAACTGGGAATGACTGTAATACGCTTATCTGATAAAGTTCACTCTGGTAAACTACAGTTAGAAAGAATTTAATTTTAAAAAGCATTTATTTGGAATACTCTGATTTGACTTCAAGTTTGACCAAACCCAGATGTCCTGGTTTGAAATCTACTGCACCTGTTTCAATTAGTGATCTAGAATTTCAAAACCTTAGCAGGTCCCATCATCTACACCTACTGCTTACAAGTAAAATATACAGTATATGGCCTAGGTTTTATTCTTTTTCTCTAATCTCTAAGATAAATCGTGCTTACATATGTTCTTTTATTTATCACACCTGAAAGCTACTCGAAGTCTCAAACATTAAAGGTGGCTTCTCAAGAAGACTGACAACACGTGTCTTTTTCTTAATACATTGCAAGGACTGCAGGTAAAACAGTTCACACATAACAGGTACACAGCCTCTCTTTTCCAGAGATACCAATTCTATTTGCAAAAAGCAATTCAGTTGACATTTCAGACTAAGAAAACTAGAGCAAAGACATTCCTAGCTACAAGAAAAACACCAATGGGAGGCCAAGTAAATTTAAAAACACTGCAAGTTCATTCCCTCTACTCTTTTTCACTATTTAAAAGCTCTGAAAACTCTTAAGCATTTTGCACCAGTCCCTGTTTTCTAACATCATTAAACATGTGAAGATTTGCAAAACGAATCTTTATTTTGAGGCTGACCTTATTTTTGGTCTTTACATATACACACCCATAAAAAGCAATACCAGATGCTCTAACAGGGCCTGCTAAAATCAACAAGGAATCATTTGACTATAATGTTTTTACTTCCACTACATCCAGATGCTCTCCAAAAATACAGTATGATATTATGATAAAATACTTGGAAATTCCCAAGTTCATAGTCTCATTAGAAAAATTATGTTCATAAAATTTAACAAAACAGAAAAACTGCAAGATACACTAAAGTAAGGCCATGTTACTATATAAATTTGCTGTTGTGTTAAGTTCAGGGTTCCAAGACACAATTTCTTAAAAGATAAACAGGAAGCATTAAGGAATTGCTACACAATGCTTGCAGAGCCACTACTGATTGGCAATTTGCCACCTTCCCCTCTCCTCGTTTCCCGCACCATATGAGTAAATCTTGAAGCACCGGTAGGAATGAAAACAAACTGAAGATGTGGTTGGGGGAAAGAGGTATGAGGCACTAAATATTCATGAAAATGTAACAATAAAAGAGCTAACCTGAACAGCTTGCATGTGTGGTGACTGAATGACTGAGGGCTGTGTGGCTTGAATGACACCTTGGGCATGAACAGTTTGACCAGAAGGCAACTGCACAAGAGTTACAGCTGGAGATCTTCTTCCAGCACTTGATGCAGCTACAGAAACCTGCAAAAATTACAATCATCATGTTTAAGAAACATGCCTTAAGATGTCAGCAAGTGCTTTTAGAAGTGATACTAGAAGAAACTGGTTTTGTTTCCATTATCTAAAATAGCTTAGATATGTGTAATTATCACACACAGAAATAAATTAGTTTTTCTAGTAAAAGCCTGGTGTGTATCTTTCCAAATGGTATGGAAAGCTTAAAACTGTCCCCCATCAAACTGCAAATCTATCTTTTCTTTCTCTCCAGAGACTTCATGTTTTCTTTTCAATGAAAACCAACCCCAAGATATTACACACTCAATCTGCTGTCACTAGCATGAAGGTTAAGAACCACCTCAGAAAATGTAACAAAAAATATCAATATTCACTGAAGTGGTATGTTCCTGCAACAACATACAGGGCAGAATGCTCTTAGCCAGGGGAAAAAAAAAAATCCAGAACTGCTTTGAGTTTGCTTTGTTTCTTAGGCAAGAAGCTTATTTTGAACTTAAGCTTTTCAGATCGATGTCTCAATGGATGCAAGAACTTTTCAGACAGCAAATGAAATTGTTAAATAATTTGTAAATTGGTTTAGTTTAATAAATCCTCTTTTTATACATATATTTATATGTCAAGAAAAGCAGAGTTGGAGTGTATCAGTGCTTTGATAGAACAACAAAAATAAAGAACAGCTGTGTCTTCTTTAAGCCTAGCACAGCTGAAGGAAGTGTTCTGTTTAGGAATAATCTGATCCGTTTTTCTGATGACATTTCAGAGCACACACAGCTTTCCCCAGCCCTCGGCTCTCAACCATCATACTGAGGATGAATGGGTTAAGAAACAGTTAAACACCTACAGGCTAAGAAACAGTTCAATATTTATGCCATAACTGTTAAGTCTATTAACAAATACTGAAGCAAAGCAAAAACGCTATGATTGATCTCAAG